CTGCTGTTATTTCACTGCCAAATCAGCTTCAAGGCTAACTTAGGATCATTCAAAATGGCCACGTTCTGAACAGTACATTAAATCACAATGACAAATGTTTTTGAGATGAACGGTTCCAAGTCATTTATGAAGAGACAGCGTTTCAATTGGTCTGCTATTAATCGGACCTAACACACTGCACTCAAGAAGTACTGAAAATACAAAGACTTTATAAACACAGACCTAGAGCAAAATTTTCTATTGCATTTTCTAACAAAAATTTGGTGGTACAGTGAGGTGTCCAAACTTTTCAGTGGAATATCAAACATCTCCGCAGGCCTCGTCCAAGAGGACCACCGCCCACCGTAAAACATCCTAGATTATGGGCGTGAAATTCTAATTTGGGTAACTGATAGCTAAAATTTGAATTCAGGCTACATCCAGCATTTGGGCTGTCCTTTGCCAATTGCTGTTCTACGCGATTCATCAGTCCTTTCCCGCTTCGTCTGATACATTATTTTAACTACAACATTTTCCTTTTTAACTTCTTACTTTAGTATATCGAGTAGAAGCAACACAACGGTGTGACCTTCCACAGTGGTAACGTACAGACTGAAGTCACTCCAAGGAGACAACCCGTCTGTTTCCAAAGCAAAATGTACAGAAACTAATTGGTGTCATTACCGATTACTTCTGATGATATGATACAGGCACAATGGATAAACCTCTGGCATCTTATTCTAGTCCTCCTATGAGCAAGTCTGGCCTGTATTACAGACTGATTTAACTTTGAACTCTCCCAAAACAAAAAATTGTCTAATACACATTCAACGTATGACATGAAATATGCCTGTTTGTTTGTTTCTTCAGGATGTCAGAAAAATTATCTATTGCATAAACAACTTAAAGCAACAAAATGCTTGAAGTTCCATGACACACATCACAGAATTTTGGTCCTGTACACTTTGTACATTAACAGTGTAAAGACATCCAATCAGAGTAGCAGGTAACTCGATAATTTGGACTTATTCTTAGACATGCTGTAGTAAAACAGCCATCATATTAGCCAATCACAAGGGAAACAAGACGCAACGCAACCTGAAGATCCTAACTCAAGACACAGAAACGCTGCATTTCTATGAGCAACGTGGTACTGCATACCGCAGTCTTACTCAGTCACTTCAGGGTTGCGCTGTTCTGCGTTTCCCTCGCGATAAAAACAGCGTGGGGACGACTACAAAATGTGAAGATCCCCTCTCGTCCCAAGTTAAATTTTTTAATTCTGTTTGCCTGTATATGTGATCAATACTAAGACAATATTATAACGTGCAGATTCAATACTGATAGGATGCCAACTTTACAAAAATATCACATCTTAAATTTCAGGATTTGAGTTACACTTTTATAATAACTACTTAAAAACTGCATAGGTCACGTCAGTGGTACATCGCTGTACTAACGACTCGCACGAACAACTTTGTCAAATGAGATAAATGGCTGTAGTAGTCTGAACAATTAAAGTTTTGTACATATTATTACCCTTTGTAATCAGTTTGATAAACATGCAATCGATTCACAAGAACACGGAAAAGAAATATTTGTTACTGATTCCACACTTGTAATTAAATGGATATTTTAACAATCAAAGAATTGGAATTCTCCTTTACTCTTAGTGTAATAACTATTACCTATTATGTACTAGACATAGTAAAAAGTACAGACATGTTGCAAAACTATTTTTTATATAAATCTTTCATTCTTATTTCTTACTTTCTTTCATACCAATCATGTCCAATCCATATCACTAAAGACAAGATCCCTTCACTTGCACGATAAAAAATAAAACTAGTAAATAAATTTGCCGTACGCGTGATCCGATTACCCTCTTGCCAAACAATGCTGCATCAGATCATTCTTTTGTAATGCAAAAAACACGTCTGACTGCAGCACCGCCTTAAAATGCATTACAAACTGAAGTCTAAAGTGCAAAACTATTTACTACGCTAGGGATGGACTGTCTGTACCACTACCACTGCCACCACCACCCACTTCCCGTGCCGCTACAAACATTTGCTTCTTTCCACTCTTGGACAATGTTGCCACTTCCTTCTGTAGTGATTTAATTTTTTGAGAAAGATTTTCCACTTTCTTTTCATGTTCCTTTTGTATGTTTTTCATCTTGTTTCGAAGTTCATTCTCAACTGTGAAGTGTTTAGCTTTTAATTCTGTGATCTGCAAATCAGAACAATAAGTATTACTGGACTGTGGTCTTGCGGATGCGTTTTGGAGGAATTCATTGCCTCAGTCTTCATAACAGAAACAGAAAGAAGCGATACATCACTACGAAACAACGGTAATAACCTAAAAAATTACGTGGAATCACATTCCAGATGACCACAATCCACATTTTCACTGCCACGAAAACCTCACATCTCAAATAACAGTAAAAACTGCTAATTTGAGTTTAAAATTGTTCATTTTGAGAGATGTCACTACATGCCATTTGCAGTGAAGATCTGAGTATAGTAAGTCTCTCGCAAGGTTGACACCAGGTTCGATTTGAATCATGAATAACAACGTACTGTGTGAAAATTCATTGCGTCTTAAATATTCTTAGCTGGACGGTTAATCATGCACTTCAGGGTTCCACCAGACTCAGCCTTTTCTCTTCTCTTTCATCGTACTTCATACTGTAAATACTATTTCTGAAAATCTCCAGAGACACAACAACAAAAATATACTTTTATACATCATCAACAACAATTTTTACAGGCACAGTAAGAAATAAAGTTGCATTTCTATTTGTCCCGTACAGTTTGTAAGTTGCTGTACCACAAACTGACACAAGCTGGCTAACTCCCATTTTGACAACACATGTATGTGTACATCAGTGGTCCCCAACGCGGTGCCCATCAAGGCTTTTTCTGGGTGCCCGTGTTGCTACGGAAAGAGGTTATACTGAATAATGAAGGCTGTTCAACCACGAACATTATAAAATCAAAGCGCAGATCTCGACTTACTGACGCCCGTCTTGACGATGTTTGCGAGCAGCAACATCATCCTACACTCCCAAAGTTGAAAAACTGGCCGATGAAATGCAACGCCAAACATCACACGAACTTCCCACTTGAGTAATAATAATTGTACTTATAAAAGTACGTATTTTTGATCACACGGTTTCTTGTATCATTAAATGTTGTGTTGTTTTGCGTATTATTTGGTGTCCATATCTTATTTGTCCAGAGAAAAGAAAATTTGGCTTTGTTAATTGGTTGGTGCCCGCCACGATCTCATAAACTCTCAAATGTGCCCGTAGGCACAAAAAGGTTGGGGACCACTGCTGTACATCCTCTGGTTTCTTATCAAATGCAAAATCGTGTTCCACCCTGAATAAACATACCGCCCGCTTCCGAGTCATAAAAAGTAATGAAACACTCAAGCACATTACTTACCAGTTTGTCCTTGCTCAACAACTGAGAATCTTTCTGGTTCAACTGTTTCTGCAAAGACGCAATCTGCTCCTTCAGCTGCGTCATGGCAACAACGTGATCCGACGAGTTCGGATCATGTGGGTCTCCTCTGTTGTTCCCTGCCCCAGACCCTCCACGGGACACTTTTGTCGGTGGGCCTCCTTCTCCGTCCTTCTCACCGCTGGGTTGGCTTAATTTTGTCACATCTACCCGGTGCGGACGTTTGCTATGGCCCTTGTGTCTGCAAAAACAGACGCGCGCATTGTACGTCAAACCGCAAACAAAGCTGTGCTGCTGGCACATTATATTGTATTTTTGTTCTTCAGGGCTGTGACATATCTATCCTGAAGGTGAAGGAAATACGTTCTTCCAGAATGCTGGTAACCACCTACAAGACTATATGATGTATCAACCCAGAAGATGACAATCCGCACATAATGTTATGTTTTGTGATCATAATTTCAGGATTCTCCTTTCAAATTTAAGGATACAAAAGAAATTTGACACATTAATCCCATCAGTAAGCACTTTCTGGAGGTAGTAGTGAAATTTATCTACGCTAAAGCTTCTTAAATGTATTCATGTACTGAAAACAGGGGCCTGTTAACCTCAAGACAGAGACCAAACACATCCCTGAAACATTCATATTCTGGTGTTTACACCAGTCAGTGAAAAAAGTCTAAAAATCCTAAGATGCGGGATAAAATTATAATAATTAAAAAGTAATGACGTAGCCACATAAAAAATTAAATACTCAATCAGCTTACACGAGTTTCATCTGCAAATAGTTCTATTACGTTACGCACATAACAATGAGTAAAGTCAGAGGTACCAGCTGTGAGCAAGTTCGGAGGAATCCTTCACCTCTGCCAAAGAGGCCAATGTCAGCAGCTTTGGAAAGTTTGTCCAATCTGCCAGATCCAAATTATATTAAATCCACAAAGAAAAGTCCTCTGTCAAGAACGCACAGCATTAAAGATAGTGATAATGGTAAATTTATAACTTACTTCCCATGTTCTTTGTTCTTGGCAGCTCTCTGGGCTGCTAATTTGATGTGCGCTCGTCGCTCTGCGTCACTCTGCTTTGTCTTAGCAAGAGCCCGTTTGTACGACAATGTGCACAGCCAACATAACAATTTGCCATCAACCTGTGTGGAAAATGTATCATAACTATAATATGCTTAATTAACTTCATTTTAACATCAAATTTGCAAAACATAAGAATAATTATTTTATAATAAAGTTTCTCATTTCTGAGCTACAATACAATTACAGGGTAGGTTAATGGCTGCCTCATCACGGCACAGCCTTTCCACTATGTGCGCACACCGCATCACATTCAGCCATTCCTAGTCAACTGTAGCAAAACTGAAGTTATAGCCTTATACAATGCTTTAATTAGATCAAAGCTAGCGTATACCTCAGTTGTAAAATTACAAAGTGCACAACAACAATTTGCCAATTTCAGTCTTTCTTATGTGTTTTTTTTTGTGGTTATGGTCTGATTTTAAATCATTTAAATTTTAGAACACTTCATTCAAGACTATGATATCAAGTACATTAGAGATACTGTTGATATTTGTGTGCCGAGGTACTTTGCTGTTGGCAAACACTCTAATGAAGACATTATCATCCTAATCAATATCATCATTAAATTAAATTAATTTAAATTAAAGGTAATTATTGTAGAATACCTTCTTATCTTCATCCTTTCTATCAAAGGCACACTTCTGTTTGCATTGTTCGCACGTGACTGGCAGACCATACTTCTTCTCTGAGTTGGTGCAGCGTTGACACTTGTTACCAATGAACGCGGCAATAATATTGCAATACTCGCACGCTGTTGGTTTTCCAAATTGTTTCACATTTGTTTCGCACTTCTTACAGATAGCACTAGGACTCCCTTTACTGCAGACATATGAAGTTGAAAGCAAATCAATTAAAGTTTTATACAAAAAAGTTAACTCTCTAAAGCTCAGTGGTACCACCTGATATAATAACCGGTAACTCCACATTTTGCCCATAGAGTGTATTTATGATTCTCAGAGCATTAACTAACTAATCTTAATAATGGGGATGGGTTATATTTTCTTTAAGGCAGAATTGAATTCTTCTACTCAGTAGAATAATTTAATTTAACAGAAAATTCTCAGATACTGCAAATATTTATAAAGATTATATTTCTGTGATATAATTACCCTGCTCAGTATAATTTAATCTCCTTACAATATAATATGTACATAAATAACTGCAACAAACAATTGAGAGTCCAGATTTATATCTGTGTCAAGTACAAATAAAAAGTACTTATTTTTATGCATATACATTTATACTTGTAATATAAAGTTTACGTGGCGTGTTCTATAAAATGTAATATATTTTAATTCTGATTTTAACATCTCCAAACTGTCTGTGAATTTGTATCTTATTTAAGGTTACTGGCTTTAACATAAACCACTCTAAACAACCTCAACGACTTGGTACTGGACTGTAAAGTTATTCTAAAATCGATACTCACTTGGTCTGCTGAAATTCTGAACGGCAGTATGTACACTTAACAACAGGAAATGCTCCCCGACATTCCTGAAACAATTTTGAGGTTAAGGATGACGATATAAGTACAGATTGAGGCACATATAGTTTATTCTCACACTGCACACAAGAAATTTAATTATAATAAATGTTTCACATTTGGAGAACGTTTCAAGAAACACTAACGTCGATTCATTGCAATCAACGTCATCCTACGAAGTGCTACAATTTCATGTACAAACGCGAAGTATTCGGTACCCGGCTGCATATTACCTTACATAATTGTTGTCCTGATGATAATTCTTCAAAGGGATGCCTCGAAAAACATCTTGAGCATGCAAACAAAGCTGACATATTCATAATTTCACAAAATATTCTTACTAAGTGCACAGCAAATTTTCAAACGTGATGTAAACATCTACAAGTAACCTCCATCTTGCATATGACGTCATTAAATGTTTTGGCCATAGTGGGAGAAAATAAGGTTTTGCCAAATGGACAAGACAGCTAAACGTACCGTGCATGACGTCTTCATTGATCACACGTAATGATCAATATGAAATGATTAATACTGTAGCGAATGTTTTGAACTAATTAATTCCATTGAATGGAATAGAGTCAATCTTCAGCTAATAGTATGCTGAGATAGTCACGAAAGCCAAAGGTTGACTACTGTGATCACAACAACTTGCCACAGATACCTACCCTGAGCCAGATGAAGTGAATAATTTGATTCCTCAAAAGTAAACACTAACTAGTGAAGTTACTATTTGGCATGTGGAGGTTATTTATGTTTTGTGATAATGCAATAGCTGTAAGAATTTGTTTGCAGCTTTTCTATAGTAAAGTACAGTAATGAGAGTAGGAATTCACTTGCAAGGAAAAGTATATTAAATTCTTAAATACTTCTCTACTGTAGCAAACATTCAATGAATTTAGACATCTTAATTTACTTAAGAATGCATGTTCATCAATTTTGTCTGCATTTTACATTTAGACCACCTTCCTTGCTAGTGTCTAATAGAATTTATTGATTTTATTAATTATATTTATGTTTACATCCAATATATTAACATCCCAAACACACATCAGAAATGGATGTGTCCCATTCACTTCCAATTCCTGTTTGTTTTCTTGGGCCTTCCTGGTGGTATAAAATTGATAGAATTTATTTATATTCCACAGATCCTTCATACTTATATACATAAATACATATTTATAATATTCAATGTATCTGTAACTTAGATGAGAAAGGGATGTGGAACATGTCATAATAATACAATACACAAAACAAGCGTAATTCAAATTATTCTAAAGATTTCACATAAAATAAACAAAGGGTTCACTTAAAGTAGCATAATATTATAAATAAATCTACCCATCACAGTGGATAAATCATACTAGTTATTTGTAGTATATACAGAAAATAAAAACCCTGTATTGTTATAAGTTATTTTTACAAGCCATGGATGTGGAACATGGCATAATACGAGTATCTATTCTTAATACAAATAAAATACCATTAGAAACATCACTACATCATTGTTGCACCTATTTGCATAAATATTTACAGTATTTAATAAGAGTGAATTGAAGAAAATGTTTCTAAACAGCAGGAGTGAAATAAAATACCATCTTTCAATGCTGGTTTAAATACTCTTACGTCATTATTTAAACTTTTTATGCCTGTTGGAAGAGTATTGAATAATATCATCTCTGTATAACAAGCACCTTTCTGATAAGTAGTAAAGTTAGCATTCAGCATATGAAGGTCATATTTATGAATTGTGTTTGTACTATACATGTCAGGATTTGATACTCCAAAATAAAGTTGAAAAGCAATGCTGAAATTCTATCGCCTTGTTTAAAGAATTCTGAAGCACGAAAAAAACCATTTATACAACTTGTTTTTCATATTTATCTGATTATGTTATGTAAAAAAATTCAAGAAGTTAAGATAACCTTAAAAGAGTATTCATGCTGTTATGTAAAGTGGCTATTAAAATTATACGGTCACTTTAAAACCGAAAATAATTCCAGATTTTATTTGTACAATTTGTAACATTCTTCAATATTATATCTAATTGAAACAGTATCATCCGTTCTCCAGATGATTAATACGTATGGTGGATGATCACAAATTACGTCTGATAAGCTACACATGAATGCACCTTACTTACTCCAACCATAAGTTTGACGTCACACCTAGAAATTCAATAAAAGAACGTCTACTTTATGACGTGAAACGAACACGTCTTTAATGTCTTGTTTAAACGTAGCTTGTTCTTAAAAAATATTTTATATTAAGAATTTTTAAAAAATTAGCCATGTTTAAAATTTAATGGCTCTTTACTACATATAATATGTGTAGGATTATCATTTTCCAAGTCAAATCTTTATCCTTCAGTTAAATATTGTTAATGTTTAAAAAAAAAGCAGTCCTGCTACATGCCATGTAAGTTGCTTTGAGGGAAAATATTTCTTCACTTTATCTAGTTATTTAAAGTTCTTATGGCAGTGAAGAAATCAATGTGGTATTTAAGTTGTGACACCATGTGGTCACCAGTGTCTTGGAGGAATGTTGGTACTGACCTGCAAGATTACCACAGTGTCCCATCCCAAGAGACCACAATCAAAATAAGCATAATGTATTGCACTGCAGTCACAGAATCCTCTAAGTAATGTGTCGATATAATTAGCATACTTACCAGTCTCTTTCCAGTGAGAAATACATGTTTTGTTACAATTTATACATTATTTACTTTTCAACTGTGAATTTCAGTTATTTCTCTTTCTGTAATACCTTGAGATAACTGAAATTACTAGAATGTTCTCACCAAAAGATGAACCTTTTCAAGTCAAAGTTGCATCTAGTTCTTCAGACAAGGCCAGATGTGAAGAAGTTGAGTGATGAACGGAGAAGTATCATCTTAACCGCAAATTTACAAACTGATTCAGGGACCTTACACAAGGGTGATTCAGGATAGCACCCTGGTGCTCTTTAGCGAGCTGAGACACTGCTCTGGCAATTCTTTTAATGACTGTGACATTCTTCAAAATACTTGGTAATGCAAATCCCCTCCCCAAATTATCCCATAAATTTTAATTTCACAGAATATAGATAGAAGGTTTTATTTCTCATCTTGTTTTACTCCAGTGTGGAAGTAAGAAATATGATAAATATTATTAATTGGTGTATTGGTATTTTTTTTTTGCAATTTAATTTAATTAACTAACTAAAAATACCATTCTTTTAGGAAAATGTGGGGTAAATATGATGCACGGAAAAAGGGTAAATGTTAAAATGGAGGGTGAGAGAGGAGAATGTGCGGATTATTTTTTCAAAAGGTCCTTGGTGATATGTAACAAAAAATGATCACACTACAGGACATTTATTACTCTGTGATATACATACCTTCCTTCTTTTATTTTAAGGCTGCAGTTAGAATTTTATATCAAAAAGCATAAAAAATTATTGAATCTAAAAGTTTCAATTTAAAACAATTCAGTCTTTATGGCTTCATTTAGAATAATTTGCAGTGTCTTAAATAGCCACCAAGTAAGATAGGTCAGCATTATTTTTGCTCTAGAAATTCCTTTTCTGCAGGACCTTACATGTTAAAAGGCACACCATTTTAAAAATAACGGATTAAAATATCACATAAGTCCACATCAGGACCACGAATAAGTAGAATCTAAATTAAACCTCAGGCTATCAAATGTGTGAATTCTACTTGCATCTGAACAACAAAATCTCTCAAGTACGGGTAGCGGAAGTCCACAGTCACTCAGATTCTCCTTCCCGAAGGCAGACGGCACAGCCGATTTGCCAGGTGTCTGTGCGGTACTGCCGCGGCTATCGGACGTCTCAGAAGACTTCATACAATCTGCTAAGATCCATACAAAATTTACAGGCGTCACCTTCTGGATAGTTTAGTCATCCTGTTTATCGCATTATTCCCATTAAAAATCATGAATGATTGAAATTCAACAATTACGGTAAACTGAAATGACTGTGGGAGCGAACCATTTGTGGGATGCAGGAAGAATTGAAATTAAGTACTGGTACGAGGCTATGGCGGGGTTTGGCACGAGTCTGGAGTCACGGTATTGGGGAAT